CATTCCATCGACACGCTATTCAACCCTGTCACCCAGGTCCCATTAAGGCAAATACACCTTCCAGCAGCCTTCTACCTTCTGTCACTGAATACCATGTTCTGCAACAAAATAACGCCATTCTTTTCAGCCAAGGTCCAGGACCATTCCATCAGCATTATTGCATTCAATCTTAATTGCAGAGGCTGGTCATAGTCTCAGTCTTTAATGCAGTAGCGTCTTTTTAGCTAACTGGATGTGACCAGAAACACTGACTGTGACTGAGTTATGATTTGGCATGTAGTGTGGATCCAGCACAGTGGTAACAGCTGCTTCTCTCTGCTCTGCGTTTTCAGCAAGCCCACGAGATCATCGAGCGGCACCTCTCCTCTCTGGACTGGGCCGAGTGGGGGGGCGGGCTGCTGTGTGCGGGGGTGTGGCCCGATGGGCTCCCCTCCGCCCTGCTCTCCACCGAGGACTCGTGCTTCTCCGCCGTGCTGAGAGACGGACAGATCCTCTCCTTCTGCCTGAACACACTGAGCCTGCAGGGCCAGAGGTGAGAGGGAGACCCCGCCCCGCCCCGCCCCGCCTGGCCCCGCGGCCTGGTGCTCACAGCACCCCTCTTTATTTCGGGAGTGGGGGGACGTGACCCACCTGTGTGTTTGTTTGTATCCAGGAGTCGGCCGCTCAGCCTGAGTGACCTGCAGAGGGCGCTGCAGGGCGGGGCGTCGCTGGAGGGTCACCTGTTTGCGGGGGGCGGGGCAGAGGGAGGGGCCAGCCACGCCCTGCGTCTGCTCCCCACGGCGGTGAAGCTGCTGACGGAGAGGGCCTCCCACAGCGACTGGGTCCTCAGGACCAGCTGGCTCTCACACCTGGCCAAGAGCTACAAACACGCACCAGGTGATCCGAGTGTGGGCCAGCCTGCAGTCTCCATTTTACCCTCCCTTAAGTCATTCTCATTTCACACTCACTGTTGCATGTAAGACAAGGTTCTGTAAGGAGGAAAAGCAGTGGAAGGTGTTCAGTTGGATGCACCATGTGTGTCTGAATTATCCCTGTAAGGGATGTTGGATTGGTGTGTGTTTGGTATGTCCGGTTGCACAGAGGTCCCAGGTGTTTTCAAGTCCTTGTGCACTTTTTCCCGAACACTTAAAATTCATTATAAGCTCCAATTCTTTTTTTTCTTTTGACTTAGAACATGATGTTTATTTATATCAACTTACAAAGTGATAATTGTAAAGTAAATTGAGATATTTTTTAAGGAGCTGGTGAATACGCATTTAGGTTCATGTTGTATTTGCCTGTTGTCGAGCTGTGTTATGGCTGTGGCCTGAATGTGCAGGACCTGTTCTGAGGTCAGTTTTATCCTCACAGACATGGTGCTGGTGCATCTGGAGGCAGGAAGCAGGGCCCTGAAGGCCGTGTTTGACAGCAAGCTGAGCGGGAAAGGCAAACAGCTGACCGAACTCCTGCAACCGCACAGCACAGGTAACCACACCCACCTCTGCGTGCTCACCTCCCCTGCAAGAGGGGCGGAGTCACCAGCGTCTCTGCCTGCCTGAGATACATACATCAGATCTGGTCTGAATGAGCGGCTTGTCCTGTTAGTTCAAATCTCCCCAATATTCACACATGCTCTGTTGGCAGACGACTACAGGATTCTGGTGGACATGCGCTGGAACAAGCAGTACCTGGACATCCTGGCCAACACCTGTAATTTCGAGGACGAGGAGAGGTACACGGAGTTCATGGAGGCGTTGAATGCGGTGGCTAACAGGTACGTGTCTGTGCCGTTCAGGGGATTTCTGCTAGGGGTTGCTGCTGAATGCGTGTGGGGTTACCTGTATGTGCCGTCTCCTCCTTGCAGAATATCGCTGCTGATGGACAGAGAGGAGCAGGCTGTTGTGGGTGGTGCGGCTCTGAAGACATCACCACACAACGGTGCCCTGAGGCTGGCCACAGCCTTCTCCAAAGGTGCCCGACCACACAGAGCCAGTAGGGGGTGCTAAAGGGGCAGTTAATGCAATATTGGCGTTTCAGAATTAGTGGTTTCAGATAAAACGCAGGACCCTAAAAAAAAAAACATTTTTAACCAGGTTTCACAATAAATTGTTCATACAGTTTTAATGGTTGCAGAGAGAATACACAGGTGACGATAATCCTATATTACATCTGAATGCGTCAACCTGAAGGAAGCCCGTAAATCTTGCTTAAGGAGTTCGCTAGGTACCACAGCACTAGGTATTATCAGGTAAAAATGGATGGGTGGGTAGGTTTGAATCTCAGCAGGGACACTACAGCTACACCACTCAAAATTCAAAAGTTACCTAGAACTCTTCCAGCTTTATTATTAATCAAAAATAATGAGTTTCTGTTGGCTGTTACATAAATAGGCTCTTATCGTAATAATGTTTGTGTTTGTGGTTTAAGGGACCTTGGACGTGGGTCACCTGCCCCACCCGGTGCTGGTCCACCTGCGCTCCTTCTTTGAGATGTGGGACTCGTTCGTGCTGCAGGCTGTGCAGACCGGCCAGCCCTACGTCTCCGATTACCTCATGTTCGAGGTCAGCCCCTTTCACGTGTCTCTAACTCTCTCCGCCTCTTTGGTGGCACCATGCCACCATGTTTCTGAATGGGCACGCCCACGTGAACACTGGTCTCGGTGTGGTCTCTGACTGCTGTCTGCACCTGTCACCCACACCCAAAATGGGATCTTCCTCACCCCTGTGTCTGATGCAGTTCTGAGTGTGAGCACAGGTGTACAGGTGTGTGTATGGGCACAGGTATACAGGTGTGCAGGTGTGAGTGTGGGATTGTGTGTATGGGCACAGGTATACAGGTGTGCAGGTGTGAGTGTGGGATTGTGTGTATGGGGACAGATGTGCAGGTGTGAGTGTGGGTTTGTGTGTATGGGCACAGGTGTACAGGTATACAGATGTGAGTGTGGGGTTGTGTGTCTGTCTCCCCAGGTGCTGCAGCTCTTGCGGTGGCGCGATCGTTTTTGGGACGTGTGTAACTCCCAGGCCCCCGACCCCCAGGGCGTCTCCGTTCTCTCCCTGCACTGGCAGTGGGTGCAGAAACACCTGATCCACAGACTGCCCCAGCTGCTGCTGGGAGACGGCAGCTATGAGTGAGTGACAGACACCAAAGAGCAAATCCGTTTGGTTTGAGTGCTTTCTATTCCCAGCCACACGTTAAAAGGCTTTCCTTTTCCTTTCCTGAAAGTCCTTGTTCAGCAGTGTCAGACTGGTGGGATGTAAAGACTCTGTGAGTTCAGTATTTGCCAAATGGGAACATATGAGCTGAAGCAGATGTAGTAATTAGAGATCTTACATTTCTTGGAGGATCATTAGGTGTCTGGACATGTATGCGTCAAATTTCAAAACAAATTTGATTGTTCTGTAAGGCCTTGTAAGACCTCAGCTCAGACAGGCACCCCATAGCATTCTCATTTGAGTGTCCTGTCCAGTCCTGCTTTGCGCACTCACTATTTAATCAAAAGGTTTCGCATTTGATTGCCTGTAACCCTTTGTCCCTGTGTCACAGAGGTCAGCAGGAGCTCCAGGCCGTGTCCACCGGTATCCAGAGCTGTCTGTCCAGCTCCGCCTTCACATCCTCAGCTCTGAAGACGATACAGAAGACCCTGGGAAAACCGCTTCCTTTCAAGGTAGACGGATGGTCTCTGTAAAGACATCCCTTGTGCTGTGCTGTCTCTGAAACACAGTGTAGCATAGTGGTTAAGGAGCAGGACTTGTAACTGAAAGGTTGCCGGTTCGATTCCCCGCTGGGGCACTGCTGCTGTACCCTTGGGCAAGGTACTTAACCCAAAATTGCCTCATAAATATCCAGCTGTATAAATGGATAACAAAAAAAACTGTAACCTATGTAAGTAGCTGTGGATAAGAGTGTCTGCTAAATGCCAGTAATGTAATGTGATCGTATAGCTGTGAATGTCTGTGCTCTTCCAGCTGGAGTCTGTGGCTGAATGCGCCTCTCGCCTGAGGACACTGAGTGGGGCGCTGGATGTGACGGGCCTGCGGCTCGACAGCACCATGGCCCTGTGGAGGCAGGAGGTGCTCCGCCTTCAGAGCGCCGTTCTGGGGCTGGACACCAAGGAAAGTCTGCTGGAAGCCTGGGGCCTAGTGCTGCAGGCCAACCACCAGCTGGAACCACAGGACACAGGTAGGAGCGTCTTCATACCAGACTATGCAGAACAGAACCTTCAACTTTAAAGAGCACCCTCTTGTAGTCAGTAAAAGTTTAAATACGGTGTTTGTGTGGGCAGTAGTGTGGTGTAGTAGTAACCACCAGGGATAATAACCGTCAGGTTGCTTGTTGGATTCGCCACTAAGGCACTATTGTTGTGCCCTTGGGCAAGGTACTTAACCCACAATCGCCTCAGTATATATCCAGCTGTATGAATGGATAAAATTGTAACCTACTGTGTATAATTCGCTCTGGATAACAGCGTCTGCTAAATGACAATAATGTAATGTAAATTGAAATTCCTTCTTTATTCTTTGGATAACAGGCTTGTGTCAGTGGTGTTGTCTCTTAAAGGCAAGCTGCTGTGGCTGTGTTCTGTTCGTTCCCTTCGTGATGCAGCTCTGTGGTGGTTTCAGGTGTTCATTCCCTTCGTGATGCAGCTCTGTGGTGGTTTCAGGTGTTCTGGAGAGGCTTGTGTCCTGTGTGGAGCAGCAGCAGAGTCACATGGCCACCTGTGGCCTGCTCGAGCCCAGCCCGGGTTCGCTGGGCGAGGGGGACGTGGGGGACCGGGCCACCCCCGGGCGGGACGTCCTGCAGCAGCTGGGCCGGCGGGCGCAGCTCTGGCCCCTGCTGGAGGAGCTGGCCCTGCTGAACCAGCTGAGGCTCACTGCGGACGTGCTGCAGCTGTCCCTCCCGCACGGGTACGAGGGCCACGCCCATTCTGAGCTCAGAGTTCACAGGGGGATGGTTTAACCCAGACAGTTAGACACAAGTACAGCCTAACATTATGCTTTCGCAATCCTTTCTTTTTGTAAAACAGCAGTGTGGTGTAGTGGTAAGAATCAGGGCTTGTAACCAAAAGGTTGCTGGTTCGATTCCAACCTAGAGCGCTGCTGTTGTATCTGTGGGCAAGATACTTAACCCAGAATAGCCTCAGTACATATCCAGTTGTATAAATGGATAAAATTGTAACCTGTGTAAGTCATTCTGGGTGGGAGTATTTGATAAATGCCAATAATGTAATGTAAAGAATTGTAACACTGGATTATCTCTGACAGTGTGTGTATGCATATGTGATTAAATAAGCGTGGAGTGGTCCTGTCTCCCGCAGGGAGAGGCAGTCTGAGGACAGCCTGCGGCGGACACTCTCTCAGCACCTCCGGTTCTGCCTGCAGTCCACCCCCATGAACCTCAGACAGCTGCGCACTCTCTGGTACCTGCTGAGCTGTGAGCGGGTCAGTCAGTTACCTCCTCCTGTTCATCCTTTACTGTTTACCAATGACGTACCACAGGATCAATTATGTAGCCTAAGTAATTACATGTTAGCCTTTTAATACCACGGGAAGCAATTACAGCAGAATTCTGCCAATGAAGGCTAAAGCTGCACTCCCCACCCTTGTCTTCCAATGCCACTATAAGTGCATACAATAGTAATACATGTGTAATGTTACAGCTGTGTCTACATTGTGTGTAATAAAAATTGTACAGCTGACCCTGAAACTGGTACAGTATAAAAAACATCATAGTGTTTAAATAAAGAAGGACATATAACTGGCTGTGTCTGGCTGATCTGTGTATGCTGACAGTGCTGTAATTCCTCCTCCCAGCCAGCAGAGGAGCTGCCGTTCATCTGGTGTGAGCTGATATCTGAAACCCTGGCAGCGTTCTGGAGCAGTAGCGTGACCTCTGACCCCGAGCGCTGGCTGAAGTGGAGGCCTCTGTGTCCTGAGGAGCAGAAGACACAGCGGTCGCTGCTTGGACCGGCAGACACGGTGAGTGTGTGTGAGTGTAGGGGTGATGGAGATGCTACCAGCATGAGAGACCGCAGGGTCATGAGTGGAGCAATAGAGGAGTCAAAAAGGGAGGGGTAACAGGAGGGTGTGTTTTCCCTTATCGTGGAGGTTTGGGTAATGTGGTCTGGGTGTGTGTGTGTGTGTGTGTGTGTGTGTGTGTGTGTGTGTGTGTGTGTGTGTGTGTGTGTGTTTCGGGGAGTCTCACTCAGTGTGTAATCTGCAGGGTCCCGGGCTGGTGAGCCGGGCGGTGTGGTCCCGGTGTGTGATGGAGGTTCTGTGCAGCAGTGAGGGAGGGGGGCGCTGGGACCCCGCGGGCGTGGCCCTGCTCTCCTCCTGCCGGGTCACTCTGGGGGAGTGGAGGGAGAGGACGTGCCAGCTGCAGGACGTCAGTGCTGTACTGTGGGACAACATGGCCCTGCCCGCCCTGGCTGAGTTCAGGTACACCTCCCACACAAACCCCGCTGCTTCCAGCTTAGAGAGGAGCTCCTGTTCACACATATACATATATACAACACAGTTACAGTTCTCTTATATGAATACACATACATATATAAAGTGCACACACTTACAGTCCGCTCAAACGTATATAAGTACAGTGCTCGCACATAAACACACCACAGGTCTGCTTCATGTTCAAAGACAAATTTTTTTGAGGGCTATTCACTGTATCATTTGTATAGTGAACAAGACTGAATGAGCCAGGCTGAACCAAATGTAGCTGGTATTTTTTCCATGATGTGAGTTGTTTTTCAGTGAAGGCGTAATCAGATGGTTTGACCACTATGTAATGTTGTGTAATGGCTACTACTGTCAGATTGATATACTTGATTTAGCATCAGCCCTGCTCTTAGCCTAACCTTCTTGAATGCGTTTCTGCAAGTCACCCTGGAGTGTGCATTATGTGCATTAAACGACTGTGTGTAAGCGTGAGTGTGTGTCCCCGTGTTGCAGGAGCACGGATCACAGGCTGCAGGGGCAGGTGCTGCAGAGGCAGCTGCAGGGTCTGTGTGAGCTGCTTCCCCCGGGCCTGCAGGAGCGCTACACCGAGAGCTGCCAGGCCCTGACCGCGGGGGACGACCCGGCGGCCGCCGCCCACGAGCTGCAGGCCGCCCTCAGAGACGGCCTGCCCGCCCACCTGCTGCCCGAGGGCTTCGTCACCGTGGCGACCACCTGCCTGCAGCAGTTGGTGCAGAACCGCGGCGGGGAGGCGGGGCAGCTGGCCCGGTCGGGCGTGTTCTGGGTCAACATGGGCCTGCTGCAGCTCCAGGTGTGGAGCCCGCAGACCGTCTTCGACCCGGCGGTGAAGCGGGCCTGCAAGCTCACCTATGCCCAGGAGGAGGTGGGTCGCGTCCCAGCTGCAGGACGGCAAAATGAAGCGCCTGTCATTTTCTGCATTGTTTCAGCTAGGCATGAGCTAGATGCTGTGAGGCATAGTCTTTCATCTGTAATGCTGGCAGCTCTTTCCATTTGCATAGGAGGCTGTGAACAGTAATGATGAAACAATTCAAATATGAAATGATGTTGTGATCGATGTCTGACACATTATGGTCATCCGGATGTGTGACCATAACTCATCTTCTCTTCCTGGAGTAAAACTGCCCTCGAGCTGTCCACCTCATCCTCCTCTTCTGAAGTAAAAACTTCACCCCTCAGCTGACCTAAGTTGCTGATGTAGGAGGTGCCTGGTTGTGACTCTGTGTTTCTGTTTCCCAGCTGGCCTTGCTTCAGGAGGAGTGGAGGGGGCGGAGCCTGTCCTCCCAGCTGCTGACAGGGGTGGAGCTAGAGGAGAGCAGCACCACTGACTGCTTCCAGCATCCACGCATCAGGTGTGTGCCTTTACCTGCAGGCGGAGCTGGTGCTGTTACACAGAAAAACTCAATGAACATATGATTGTAAATCTTATAGATAGAGATGGAGAACAGACCTGAGCGGCAGTGTAGTGGTGAGGAGAAGGGCTTGTAACCGAAAGGTTGCTGGTTCAATTCCCCACTGGGGCACTGCTGCTGTAAATATCCAGCTGTATAAATTGAAAACATGTAAAAACTTGTAAGTCACTATGTAAGCCTATGAACAGCCTATGTAATGGCTGCTTCAGTGTGATAGTCATGTGTTGCCAGGCAGACTCTATAGAAATGCCCCTCTCGCTCTCTTGGCCGCAGGTACCTGTGGATCCGGATGCAGCAGGTGAAGGAGCAGATTGCGGAGCTGTCCCGGAAGCAGGCCTGCCGGCCCGGCGAGCCGCAGTACGAGCGCCTGCACCAGGACCTGCAGCACTACCTGAGCAGCATTGGGCAGCCGGCCGCCGTGCTGGGCCTGCTCTCCCACCTGCTGAAGGCCCTCCCTGGGCCCGGTGCCAAATCGAGGCCGGGGACTCAGGGCCTGCTGAAGGAGGAGGCGGTGTGGCAGGCCTCGCAGCACCGCTTCGCCCAGAGGCTTTCGGAGGAGTACCCCCTGTACCCGGACGTGGTGGGGCCCCTGAGGGCCGCCATCCTGCAGCTGCAGCACGGCATGCGGCTGGTGGCCTCCCGCCTCTCCGCCTCCCAGGCCTCCGTCCCGGGCCTGCCCATGCTGGTGTCCTGCCTGCTGGCCTTCCCCTCCCTCTCCCCCGGCCTGCCCTCTCACCTGGCCCGCGCGGACTACCTGTGCTCCCGGCCCTGCCTGGACACTCTGAGGGAGCTGAGGAAGCAGCTGTCTCCGGAGGAGCCGGAGGGGGCGGTGCCCGAGCCCGCCACGCTGATGCTCACCGCCCTCCTGTACGTGCAGTGCCACGCCCTGTCCGTGGGGCAGCTGGGAGACGACGCCCACAGGCTCTTTAGACACATCTGCCAGGTGGGCGCCAAAGGATTCGATCCCATATCACCCCTGTAGTTTCTTCAGTTTGTTTCCTTTCCCCGTTCATTTGAGTCTCATATTCATTCTATACAGGTTGTATGGACACAAAACAGTTGATGGCTAGTCCATTGGACTTCAGATTTAGTGATATATACAAGTACACAGACCGATAACCAGGCAATCCAAAAGGGATTTTTGTAAGACAATTTTATATGAGTGCTCATGTAATTTTGAGTTTGCTGTGTGGGTGTCCTTTTTGTGGAGCATTGAATACTGACGTGATCTAAGGGAATCTTAGTTGATAGGGGCTGAGTATACAGTATTCAGGTTGTATAGATTGTAGTCATGATGGTACCCAGGTTGTATGAGATTGCGTGCTGATAGTATTTTTGGTTGTCCTGTGTAAGGCAGAGTGTCAGGATGATTTTGGGATGTGTTTGCTGTCTGGGGTGGGGGCTGCTGTACGATGCTCAGGCCGCTGATGGGATGTTGCGGTGTTGCTAGGCGCTGGTGAACGAGTGGGACGAGCAGGAGCGGCAGGCGCGGGAGCGGGAGCAGCAGGAGGCCAGCCTGTACCGCAGCCGGAGCCGCCTGCACGGGACCGGCCTGAGCGAGGACGAGCAGGAGGAGAGAGACTTCCGCCGCAGCTTCCCCCAGTACGACAAGGTACTGTAACACCCCGGGCCCAGATCAGGACACTGTCCCAAGGAACTATTATACACCCGAATGTAGCCACAGTGACTCACCAGTCTTCTGTACTCAAGTACTACAAGGTACTGCCATACCCCAGGCCCCTTCACCATAGTATGAGACTGTCATCTGCTTCAGCAGAACCAGTGAACTCTTCTCTTCCCTTGTACAGCCACAGTAACCCACTGTATTCGAGTATGACAAGGGTACTGTCATAACCTGGCCCCCAGCATCCTCACCACAGTACAGTTTAGAAGGAGCAGGGAACTCCTCTACACCCTAGTACAACCACAGTAATTCTCTGGTGCTCCATACACTGTTAAATGCCTCAGCAGGACCAGGGAACTCTTCTACACCATAGTACGGCCACAGTGACATGGTAATTAAGTAGTCTTCTGTACTCAAGTATGACAATGTAATTCACTCATGTTTACGTCAGTATAACAAGGTACTTTAACATGTTGGTTCACTACATTAAACTCCCTCATTGACACAGCAGTGTTCACTTTTGACTTCAAATGACTGACACATTTCAGCAGTGAATGGTCTCTGTCCCGCCCTCTGCTCTCAGGACTTTGCTG